GACTGGCTGGTATTGACCTTCTGGGTGGTGACCTGATACATGACCATGACGGTGTTGATCATCAAGTGACCACGAGATCTGACAAACGGTATAGACTCAGAGGAATTGAAAGATGGACAAAGAATCAAACTGCAACAGGTACTGGAGCTCTTCGATGGTTGGTTAAGCTGAGGACAGAGCACGCATGTTCCCAGTGCTGCGGTGTCAATTATGGACTCAATTTAACTTTCTAAATAGTCAACGGAAGGATAGAATGGGGTGGGGGAACAATCTTACTTTGAACTATATGTTTTTGATCATTCTTTGCTTCCACAAATTGTATCAGGACAGCCTCAGGGGTTGATTCTGCAGCAACGAACAAATTAACAAAACTGCTTAACTACATAGAGAAAACATCACTGGAATACTAAACCATCTAGCCGAAATGCCACAATAATACACGACTACATTGCCGAAATGTCACAAGAATGCTAAGTTATATGGCAGTGTTATCACGAGAACACAAACACGTAGCCGAAATTGAACAAGAATGTGACCGAAATTTTGCAGGAATACCTGGCTTATGTGATGGGAAGGGGGGAGGAGAAACATATCACAATAATGCACATCTTCATGCCGAAATATAAGAAGAATGCTATCCTAAGTAGCCAAAATATTACAAGAATTGTCAATGCTGTGCAGCCGAAATATCACAAATAAAACACAACAGTATAGCAGAAATGTCACAATAGTGTTTCACCACTCGTTCTATTCTTCCAAGGTTACTAAGCTACTAGTAATGTATGATTTTAATTCTTGAAATCAATTCAAGTACATTCGAATGACCTAACATTTGTTTTGTTTCTGCAGTGTGCAACCCAGGAAAGTACGGCGCAGACTGCGAGCAAGCCTGTAACAAACAGTGCGAGAAGCCCAACACATTCCCAAAAAGAGAATGTAGTGCTATTAATGGGACATGTCTTTATGGTTGTGCCAGCGGCTACCATGGAGCTTCATGCACATTGTGTAGGTATCATGCTGTTTCTGTTGTCTTGTCGAAACCGTATTATTTAGTGTATATTGTCATCATAATTAAGCTCTTTGTCGGCTGAGGTTGGCGATCATGTTTTTTCACATCATGCGATCGCCAGCTTTACGTATTCTTTTGTTTGTTGACACTTTCGAGCGCCACGACACGCATGGTTATTAAGGATTGTCAACCTTCCTCTTTGTTACTCTTTTATTTGATTCAAAAATGGAAATCACAGCCATCAGGGCATTCCCGTAAGTGCTCCGTCCCCATCTTCAGCAGCCAACGCAGAGTTCTAAAACCAATGGTGCCAGTAGCAGTCTAATTATATGTCCGTCTTGCTTTTTCTTTGAGAGTCAGATATAGGACATATCCCCTTGTCACCTCTGGCTACACCACTCTAATCAGATTATGGCGAACAATTTGCTGTTCCAATAAAAATAAGAAATCCACAATGGGTGCATGCACAGCAAGTGTGTACTGTTCTTAAATCAGTGGGTCTCTCTACGAAAATTGTTTCGGCCTAATGTCCTCCTTGAGGATCTCAGAGGGTCGGCCGACCTTGTCCCTGACTCTAGGCCTCGGTCATCTCCTGCTGCGCTTATGGACATTCGGTCAACATTATGGTGAAAAGCATGCAGCAGGTCTGAAAGACTGTCATTGTCACCACCATCAAAACTACCTTCTTTTTCCTCGCCTATATTCTTTAGTTGATTCCTTCTGTAGCAAACTAAAGACGAACCTGAGTGTGACAACACGATACACGAAGAAGACTGCTGCGCTACAAATTAGGCGCCCACCTTCTATTGTATCCACAGCATACTCGAATATCTTTTGGCAGTTGTTTTTGTGTCAATTGTCACGCCTTTCTTTGCATTGCACCCCTAGGTGCTTTTGTACAATTTATGTGGGGTTGAGATTAGCTCTCTTGCCCCTATCTCGAGGGCAAAGAGTTTTACTGCGTACCCGTCGACGTTCCTCAGACCAGCCACCAATGCACTATACTTTTAGAGTTAGTATTGTTGTTATCTCCCATCTGCGACTCGTACGACACGCTGAACTCTACCGGGGGGCGTTAAGACGTGCCCTCGCGTTGGCCGTCATCCTGGCTTTATTCACAATGTCCAGATTGTACGCGTGATTCTATAAGACCTTACCCACGTCTGTCATATCATGCATACATACTTAACCAAGTTGTAAAGAGCCAGCCAGTCTGTCCGCCTAATAATTTCCCAACACTCGGCATTCCCCTTGTCCCTTTCCTTGTTATACTGTTTTCCATTTTTCACGTCTGTTTATGTAGTCTCCACCTCCCCCCCCTCCCCATTTCCCCCTCCCCCGCGTGTCTGATATTTCAAATCTAGTGTTTTCGTACTTTTTAAAGCTTTGATCAGTGTAACTAAACAAATCTGGCAATCATTGATGTATCTGCTGTCCAATATTCTAAGCCATTTGTTAAAATGTGCTCTATGAAACAAGTAACAATTTTTAATTTTTTTTTTTTTTTGCACTATTCGTTGAGTAAAGAATTGGTATCGCAGCACTCGAGGCATTCCGTTAAACGCTCCGTCCCCATCCGTAACAGTCAGCGCCGAATTCCAATACTAATATACTCTTTATATGTCCGTCTTGCCTTTTCTCTGAGCGTAGTGTGCTGGCTGAACCCTCTGGTCACACCCAGGTGCATCATTCTCTCCAGCCCATAACTGCACTATTATATTTTTGAAACTCTTTCTTTCCTTTGTCCTACCGTTTATACCGTAATCTGTCGCAGTGAAGAGTTACATTTAGTTTCCTGTGTCTTTTGCTAGCTGCGTAGCTTGCGCTAATGTCATACTGTGCTTCTTTAGTTTCTCTTTTATTCCATCTACCTATTTCTTTCCTTGTCGGCATCTTGTTCTGTAATCTGTGGTTCTCACGTAGAACGCTCGTAGATGCTGCCTGGTATGGTTCCATTCTCACAAGGTAACCAAATCATTTCATGCTTTCCGGAGCTACGGGTACAATACCGCTGTCGAGAATGGAAACAATGAATACAAATAAAATGCTTGGTTTTTGTGGAAAAAAATAGCGTTGGCGTCAAACATATCAGCGTAAATAGTAGCATGGTGAAGCGATAATATTAAATCATTTATAACAAAGACTGGGCATAATTGCTTCAGTTATTGAGAAGAGGAAGAATAGTGACAACAAAACAAAAAAGAAGAAGAAGAAGAAGAAGAAGAAGAAGAAGAAGAAGAAGAAGAAGAAGAAGAAGAAGAAGAAGAAGAAGAAGAAGAAGAAGAAGAAGAATCAACGAAAAAAAGAACGGAAGAAGAAGAAAAAGAAGAAGAAGAAGAAGAAGAAGAAGAAGAAGAAGAAGAAGAAGAAGAAGAAGAAGAAGAAGAAGAAGAAGAAGAAGAAGAAGAAGAAGAAGAAGAAGAAGAAGAAGAAGAAGAAGAAGAAGAAGAAGAAGAAGAAGAAGAAGAAGAAGAAGAAGAAGAAGAAGAAGAAGATGGTGATGAAAAAAAAGAAGAGGAAGAAAAAGAAGAAGAAGAATTAGAAGAAAAAGAAGAAGAAAAAGAAGAAGGGGAAGAAGAAGAAGAAGAAGAAGAAGAAGAAGAAGAAGAAGAAGAAGAAGAAGAAGAAGAAGAAGAAGAAAGAAGAACGAACGAACGAACTTTATTTTCAAAGGGTCAAGAAGAAGGGCACGCAGGCCGTCTTACATTCGGAAGAAGAAGAAGAACCATCTTTCGCACAGCAGTTGTATTTTAACTAATAAGCATGTTATGATCATATGATGATATGCATATTAAGAATATTATAAAAGAACACAAAAGCATGATTTGTAAAGTGCATGCAAAAACCCGCGCGTGCATACATACACCAACATACACGCGCTCAAGAACTCACTTACACACACAAACATGCATGCATACATTACATAAGATACATACATACACAGATACATACAAACAAACATGCATACACACATACAAGACAGGCATACTTACACACAAACATACATACATAGATACAAACATACAAGAATACGTAATACAGGCATACAAGCATACAGTCATAAATACAGTCATGAATGAAGACACACACATGCAAGAACGGACACTCCCACAGAGACACACACACACTCAGACAAAAAAGACAGAACACACACAGACACTTACAAATAAACACACACAGGGGAACACACAGCACACATATTTACATTCGTGCTCACAAGAACAAACACACCACACATACGCAGACAAACATGCAGACACATACATACAGCCACATAGACACACACGAAGAAGAAGAAGAAGAAGAAGAAGAAGAAGAGGAGGAAGAGGAGGAGGAAGTAGAAGAAGAAGAAAAGTAAGACGAAGAGGAAGAAGAAAAAGAAGAAAAAGAAGAAAAAGAAGAAAAAGAAGAAGATTGCTCTTTGCCTCGTATATATGTAATCATTGTACGTGTGAAACAATTGTTGATTGTAAAGAACGTGAAGGTATATTTTCTGACGCTTATTATTTTTTGTTTCTATGTAATTGTCTGAGTGTGTGTCTCTTTGTGCGTCTGGTTTTGTTTGTCTGTATGTTTTTCTGTGTCTTTGTCTGTGTCCGTATGTGTTTGTCTGCATGTTTGTCTGTATGTTTGTGTGTGTTTGCATGTGTGTCTATATGGCTGTATGTATGTGTCTGTGTGCGGGTGTCTGCATGTTTGTCTGCGCATGTCTGTGTGTTTGTAAGTCTGTGAGCATGTATGTATATATGTATGCTGTGCGTCGGTGTGTGTGTGTCTGTATGTGTGTTTATATGTATGAATCTGTGTGTGTCCGTATGTTTGGCTGCGTGAGTTTGTGTCTCTGTGTTGGTGTGTCAGTGTGTGAGTCTGCTTGTGTGTCTCATGGCATGCCTGTATGTATGAATTACGTATGTATATATGTACGTTATGTATATACTTGTGTATGTATGTATGCATGCATGCATGCATGCATGTATGTGTGTGCAAATGAGTGGGTGAGCGTGTGTCTGTAGGTGTGAGTATGCGCGCGCGGGATTTTGCATGCATTTACAACCCTAGCTTGTGTGTTCTTTTATGGTATTCATAATATGCATATCATCCTATAATCATAACATGCTTTATTAGTAAAATACAACTGCTGTTCGAAAGATAGGTGACTGGAAGAGCCGAATGTATTACGGGCCTGCGTGCCTAATTTGTGACCCTTTAAAAATAAAGTTTGTTCGTTCCTTCGTTCGTTGGCTCGATTGATCAATATCTGCGTGTTCACTAGAATACAGATTCTCTGTTTAACTTTTCAGCGTGCAACCGAAATACATACGGTAAAAACTGCCAAAAGTCCTGCAGTAGAGGGTGCCTCCCTTCGAATACCTCCAGATATATCTCGTGCAACCACCAGACTGGTGAGTGCCTAAATGGATGTGTCGAAGGGTACAATGGAACAGGCTGTGACATAAGTAAGTATGGTTGTTGTTATCCTTGATCTCAATATCACCCCCCGTTGGTTCCAGGGCCCCATTGTGATTGGGGGGGGGGGGGGGGGCAGGAATAGACCCACTGCCTTTTCAGCAAGCATTTCGTAAGAGTCAACTAACTGGGGGTTCTTCGAAGTCAGAGAGCAGCTTCCTGAGAGGCAAGGAACCAACAGTCTGCACACAAACATACCAGTAAGATTTGTAAAACGGATTTGCACGCAACACTCAGGTTCTGAAACCAGACTAAAGTCTACAGAACTTACCACCTTAGTAAACAGCTGGTGAACTCAAAGAAGAAGAAGAAGAAGAAGAAGAAGAAGATCTAAATATCAGAGGGGTCGTGATATAAAATAGGTAATGTCCAGAACCATCTCGTGTTTCTTACCGGAATGATTTCACTCCAAGATGGTCTATGAACATATGATCTGGCACATGTGCCCATAGCGCTACTGGGATTGATAGGGGCATTTATCGACTTAACATAGACTTCTTTTGTCTGTTCGTTCTCCCTACCAGTGGGTTCAGAAGAGCAGGCGACAGGGCTCTATGAACACTCTTCCATACAGCTTGGTTTCCACTACAACACCAGCCAGCCAAACCTGGGATGGATCTTTATACTGCATGTATAGAGCATGTCTGAGACACTAGTATTTTGTGGTATATATCCACATGGGCAATTCCGCCAATCTTCAATTCTGTGTACATTTGGCTGCGGAGATATTACTTCATCTAGCGATTCACATACTCTTCAATTTAGATAAGAGTAAATGACCTTTTGCGTCGTATAGATTAGTTCTAGGCCCATGTGTTTAGACAGGTTGCGGGATTTTAAACTGTTTTTTTTTTCTTCCCCCCCCCCACCCCCCAATTCTTTTATGTACTGAATGGATACACACATAAGGTGTCCTAAAATGTTCGAACAAGTTTCAAGTTTTAAATGTATCTTAGTGCTCTTCCATGTGGGCTCCATTTATAGCTTTGTTTATTTGTTGACCAGGCATGTCAGTCATGACGCCCGAGGGCTGCATGCTGTCCTTTGCATGCACACATGTGGCGCTCACTGAGGATACATAAGCTGGCAACAATTTCGTTACTGCTTACTATCCAGTTTCGTTCTTTTAAGGACGACATTTTTTGTTATTTGAAGCCCCACCCTGGCATTTGCCAGGGGCCGCAATATAGGCAGGTCTTAAATATGGCCAGTTGTCTGAACGCGGTTTCTGGGACCTCTCCACGGCGATCCTCATCCACATGGTGGCACTTTGTGTCATCAGGTGTTTATCGCTTGTGTCATGTCCTGGTGGGGTAGAAAGTCAGTCAGTCAGTCGTTATTTTTTTTAACTATTGACAGTGAGAAAATAGAAACTAAACGAAGAAAAGATTGGGGGACAAAAAGGGGAGAGGGCGGTTCCGAGCAATGGATTAAAGTAGCACACCGATAAATGGAAAAAAAAGTTTGAAGTTTGAAGAACGGATCAACATCACGGCACACTGGTAATCCATAAGTGCTCCGTTCTTCTTTTAACTCAAGCCTGAGTCCAAAGAATCTCAGCACAGGGCACAGGCTCTGTAGCACCAGCGAGGATCCTAAAATACTTTGGGTAGATTGTTGACTTTTAAACGTTTTGCCCGTGCAGCGCTTTTAGGCTTCTCTTTTCGATTTCCAACTGCCAAGGAATCTTTTACGTGCGCAGCTAAAAGTCCAAGTCTACGTGAAAAAATCCCAGCCCTTACCGGGGATTGAATCCGGAACCTCTAGCACTCAAAGTGGACACCATGCCTCGAGACCACACAAACCCCCTAAACTGAATGCTAGTGAATGGAAAGACACATTGTTAAATTTGTAACAACAGCCAAAATAGTACTAATTATAAAGATAGGAAACGAACTATTGATTTTTATTTATTAAATATTCACAGTCGATAACCCGGAACCTCTTGCACTCAAGGCAAACACCATGCCTCCAGACCACGCACCCCCCCCCCCCCCCCCCCGCCCCCTAAAGTGAATGCTAGTGAATTGAAAGACACATTGTTAAATTTGTAACAATTTGGGAAATAAACAGGCGGACAGACTGGCTGGCTCTGCACAACCTGGTGGAATACTGATACATAATAAGGTTGACGTGGTTGGTGCCTTATGACAGAGCGTGTACAGTTCGGAGGAGCAGATGGATCACCACAGTCTGGTGAGACTGATGCAGCGGGGAGTGACGAAAGATTCTGGCAGATGCTCGAGGCTTAGAGGAAAGGAAAGACGGACGTTTAATCAGAATGCTACTGGCACCATTAGTATCGGAACTCTTCGCTGGCTGCTGAAGATAGCCACCTAGCGCTTATGGTAATGCCCCGAGTGCTGTGCTGTCGGTTCTTGAATCAAATCAATCAATAAATCAAACATTTGTTACAACGGCCAAAATAGTACAACTTAAAAAAGATAGGAAACGAACTATTAATTTTTTGTTTTAAATTATCACATTCTTGTAACATAATTTCAAGGAATCGAATTCTAATTTGAGGCAGATGCATATCTATTTTACCAAAAGTGAGAAAGGTGATGTCGCTTTCATTACTGCAATCTATGGACAGTTGAATGATAGTCATGCCGGGATACATTTTGTATAAACAGTGCCTGGTCAAATAGAGGCTCAGATTGTTTATCCCGTGAAAGCACATTAATTGAAAAATATTTTATTTACAAAGAGCACTGTTGCTGATCGGATTATGAAATGCCCAGTGATTTGAGACAATAGATGAAGGCCAAATTATAAATGTGAGCATCTGTATGTATGCGTGAATGAGTTAGTAAGCGTGTAAAAATGTGTAAGTGTATGCGCGCTAGTGTGTGTGTGTGTGCGCGCGCGCGCGTAAGCACATACCTATATTTAACACTAAAATTCTAATCACAAGGGTTGACGCAGCTAGCAGCAGTGTTTCATCTCCCGTTGGGCATAACCAAAACTGGTCTGGTTGCAATAGTCACTGCAGCTGTCGTTGCTGGTCTGCTGTCTCTTCTGCTTGCTTTGTTCTTATGTGTCCGAAAAAGATACCACGATAATCTAGAAGAAGGCGCCGAGTAGATTCTACAGAAGAATCAAGGTAGGTATCACGACGCTTTACGGTTTTTAGCTCTCATCATCCGGGGCCTTACCGACTGGCGTAGGCGATCAAGCCTCTCCATAATCCTAGATCTCCTGCAGCATGTATCAGTTCGTGTGCCGACACACCGCCATGTCATGCAACAAGATTGTCAAGCATCTTCTCTCGTTGTCTTCCTCTATCCATCCTTATCAATTAAAGATCTCATTATATATTCACTGTATATTGAAAACAAATCACGTGACAGTACACATCCTTGTCGTACGCCCCTCTGTATGCTTTGAGATGTACCTAAACAGTTGTTAATTCTCATAGCTGCTGTTTGCTGCCAATACATATTCTTCACTATTTGTAGATCTTTATAGCTCTAGGTATCTATAAACGTCTCGTGCAAATCATAAACATTCGCACCCTGTGCTGCCAGTGCTGGACGAGGTCATTCACAACAAAAACATAAAAGAACATTTGTAACCATGGAAATGAGGTGTCTGAGAAAGACTGAAGGAGTGACCAGAAGAGATGAATTCAGGAATGAGGTCATACGAGATAAAGTCGGCACAGAAAATATTCTAAATTATATGCAAAAACAGCAAATCAAATGGTTTACCCACTTAGAAAGAGTGCTTTCTGATGCTATACCCCATAAGGCATATACCAAAAGAAAAGAGGGACATAGAAAAGGAGTTAAACCAAGAATAAGATGGAAAGATAACATCAGAGAAACACTACAGCACCAGGATGTGTCTATGTTCGAAGTAGTCAGATGAGCACCAAGCAGGACCTTAGATCTCTCTCGAAACCAGAAGCGGTAAAAGAAGACGTAAAGAAGAAGAAACAGGTATCCTGGGAAAAAAAATGGTTTTCCCACTAAGAGGCAATGCCTTGTGACACCGTGCCATCCAAGGCATCCACCAAAGGAAGAGAGGCATGCAGAGCATAAGGCAGACGAAGAACAAGTTGGACAGGTAACATTAGAAAAACTCTACATAAAGCACGGTGCGTGTATTGTCGAAGCGGCTTGAATAGCAAGAAGCAAAATGTTATATCCCTTTCAACACCAGACAGTATATACAGAGTAGTTTAAATGAAGAAAGTAAAATTATCTTGAACAAAAACAAAGATGTGCTTCGAAATACTACATTAGGCAAACATGTAGCTACATCTGGGGACATTTATTTAGACCGGCAATAGTGAGTAACAAAAGAACATAAGAGAAGACTAACCACCTGTGAAATGAGATGTTTGAGAATTGCTGCGAATAAAACCAAAAGAGATCGAGTGAGAAACGATGTGATTACAAGAACTATTGGAACCATACCCATCGTTAAATTTATTGAGAAGCAAAGAATGAAATGGTTTGGTCACCTAATGAGAATGGAACCAACGATGCCAGCATCAAGAGCATACAACATGAAAATCGAAACACCAAGAGGCAGGGGAAGACCAAGAAGAAGATGGATTGAAGGAGTCACGGACAACTTGAGACTTCATAACATCACGGCATATGAAGCGACGGAGCGCGCCCTGGATCGGTTGCCGATCATCTGATAGACTGCGACGCCTAGCGGCACAAGCAGATTTTGACAAAAGAAAGAATGAATAGTGAGTAGCTGGAAACAGAACGCTATTTATATATATATGTTAAAACTGCACACAAGCAGCGTTACGTAGGGTATAATTTCAAAACGATTAGACAGGTGCATGCTTGAGTGAATGAATGAATACAATCATCTAAACTGCAATGGTTAGACACCTGCTGTTTGGAACATTACCATGTCATCTAACATACATGGCTAGACCTATATTTTATAGAGCAATCGTAGGTGATGTGGTCAGCATCACACCGGCTGCCTTTGTTTCCCATGACTTCACCGTCTAACCATTTAAGGCTGGGTCGACCTGAGAGCAAAGGTCATTTTGACATTTCGTCGACCAGCCCTTGGGAAATGCTATCAACTGTAAGCTGAAATTACTGTAACTATTGACCATAGGGTATGTAGTCCATTCTTTATGTAAGTTCACAGAGTAAAGCAATTCTTTGATAGTTAATATTGTGTGAGATTAGGGTTAAGGTTGGGGTTAGGTTTTTTGTCAGGGTGCTTATAGACTCGTTCGACGTGCAAACGAGATGATCAGCCGATTCATCATCGTGTGTCTTGTCGACAGCTATGGGCGATCATGCCACCTCCACAATCTAGAATCCGCAACTGCGTTTATCAGTTCGTGTGTTGACACTCCTCTATGGCACGACAAAAGGCGGTCAAGAATCTTCTGACGTTGTCTTCGTCTGTCTCTCTTCCCACAGATCGTTTAAGTGTTCACGTGATGTTACATTTTCTCTCTTCTGATAACAAGACCAAAAACGATGACTGTCTCTTTTTGGTGTTTGTGATAAGCCGTCTTCGAGCCCGTGCCTCTTTCAAAATATCTGGCATGCTCTTTTTAGCTGTCTAAGGAATTCTAAGGATTCGTGTATAAAAATTGGCATCTGTGGCTTAGGCGTTGCGAACGAGCTTCGTAATGCCGGGGTGCCGGGTTCGATCCCATCTGCGGGCCTTGCGCCTTACGATGGTTCGACAGTAGTATCGAAAAGCAGACCATCCAGAAAAAGATCGCAAACTACTGGACCTAAATTTGCCTAGACAACTTACAACAGCCTAAAAATGCTAGGATTGGTTCTGCAATGCCATCTAAAGGATACGCAACTAACTAACCTCTGTAAAAACACATCCCCGAGGCCGCAAGAAATATTTCGGCCTGTTTATTAATAGTCCAGGTAAATAAATATTCACAACGGTAAATAATAAGAACTCCACAGGGGAGCATGTACAGCAGGGCTCCACCGATTATTAGTAGTAAGATCCCTTGTGGACGATGTTTCAGCCCATTACTTCCTATACAATCTCGGAAGGTTGGCTGACCTGGGTCATGAAGCCAGGCCTCGGTCTTCCACTGCTGCTCGTTACCGGATTTTCTCGGACAGGGACAAGACGATTTGGTGATTTGTTATAGGTGCTGTGAGAATTATGGTATTTGTCGCTTTGGTAGCAAAATAGATCCGTCGACTACCTCACGACCATGGTGACAAAGTTTCGGTTGATTCATCGGACAGGCATTAGGCATTTCGACTATGACAGTCGACAGAGAAACACTGGCAGACATTTATCGGACACTTTGGCTTTTAAAGGGTAGGGATAAAAAGCTCTTTTCCACTAGGAACTCGGACCATGTCATTTGTTTTAGTGACCGTCTGAGCTCGTTTCCACGTTTAAGCTCGTTGCTTAGCACATTGTACATTTCTGTCTTGCGCCTACCTCGAGGGCGAAGATTTTACTGCGTATTCGTCATCTCTTCTCACACTCTCAACGAGCTTACAGTTCTTCTCGTGCTTGTACATGTGATTTTCTTCGATCCGCGACTCGTACAGCACGGTCGGCTCTATCAGGATAGTTACGTTTTTTCCCCGCAGTGTGCAGAACTATGCCGTGTGTTAAAACTAGCTCTATATAGCATGCGGCCCACCGCAAAATGTTAAGAAGTTTGAAAGCACTTGACGTAGAATGCAATCTCTCGTGGGACCTAGGTTTAGTGTGTGGGGTAGGGCGGTTGGGGTTAGTGCCAGTTGTACATGGTATGGGGTCGTTAAAAGGGCTGGCCTCCTGTAATAAAGACCACACGTGGTCGCCGATAAGAGCGTCGGTGCAATACAACATCGTAGCAGGCTGACACCGCCGCCACTTAAACTTGCGCGTCTTAAAGGTTAAGACATATGAACGAACGTCAAATCAGAGTGTCTGTCCCGACTTCGTCATTCATAGATGAGCCCTAGTTCGTTACATGTTCCAGTAATTTTCTGTGTTTAAGGGAGGGCCTCAAACTGTGCTGACTTGCACAGCAATAATATTTAGATCGAATATTATTATTATTGTGCAATCAGAAAAGGCCTAACATTTTTAACCCTTCCAAACCGACTAAGACTGTGCGCCAGAGGCTCCATTTGTGGCTTCTGCCTTGTCGAGTTGCACAATAATGATGATGACAATAATAATAATAATTGTTGGTATTAGTATGTGCTAAATTCATTCATTCATTATTTCGTTCATTTATGCATCATCATGCTGAGCCAATAAATACCACATAGGTCTCTCCAGTGATAACCAATTTATTTTAAACCAAAAAAAATGTATTGAAAAATACTTACTCAAGAAAAAGACATCTATATATGGTGGTCGTGAAAGAGTAGGTGGGGGGGGGGGGGGGGGGGGTGTTGGCTGGGGTTCTCTGCTCCATGCTATTATTGGATGGGGTCCCTAAATAATTCAAACTTCCTCTGCTTTTTGTTCTTTTTCGTCAACTCCCGTGTCTTCTTCCTCTGTCTCTTCTGTCTCATTTCATTCGTCTTTTCCGTATCCCCGTCGTCCTCTTCTTTTCCCTTTCCTCTTCTTCTTCCTCTTATTGTTCTTGTTTTTCTAGTTGTTATTATCATTATTAGTAATATTATTACTATTATTATTATACTCATATTATTGTTGGTGTTGTTAGTATAAAGTACCGAGATTACTCCACCTGAAGTATACCACGTATTTGTTTTCCAGTAGTTGATTTGTCCTGTTACTGGAGCAGAGTTCAGATCATGAACTCTGTGGGGCTGATGCATCTCAAGGCTGTTATCGTGGTCTGGATGTTGGCCCCGTTACTCTCACATCAGGCAAGTATGTACACAGGAGCTGTCCTCGTTACAAATACAAGTAACCTTTGTCTTTACTATCGTCATCTCTGTCGTGAACATCATATTATATGTAATGAAACTTTGTAACGTTTTATCGGGAAATTTTGTGAGAAAGTGGTTTGTGTGAAATATGGTAATGACTGAACGATGCTAGGATTGTGTGTAGGATCGAACGAAATATCACCAGTGTGAGAGAAGTGAGGCGCAATAGTGACTTTGATAGAACGGGGACGTAAAATTATGTAGTTAATCAAGGGATATAAATTCAGTGAAAGCTAAATTTAGTTTAGTAACATTATTTATTATAAATACGTAGAAACCTTGTTGCAAATAGCACAGCTGACCTAGACATTTTATCCATGGTGACATAGTAAATTTCACTGCTTTATTGGTCACCGTTTGGGAGGAGGTCCTTTGGCAAACAAAATATACAGACAGACGGACAGACTGACACATCGATTTTCGGTTTTATCGTATGGACGTAGCCTCAACCAGTCCCACATCAGAGCGTTGGTCGTTAGTCGAGTCGCAGCAGCATTGCTCCATAACTGCTCCTTTCCTGTGCCAGCAAAAATCACAAACAAATGTCAGTCGCTGTCCTATTTGAAAACTAGTGGTGGGGGATGGGGGGGGGTGGCGGTCAGTCAAATGTGCCACCACTAACTGCTCAGTACAAGAATTGTAACTTTGTATTTGCACACGGTAAATCAAGAAAGCCAGCATTGCACCTGCCAAAGTAGACCCCACTCTAAACACAAACCGCCACCGGCCTTTTTGTTTCACTCATCATCACGCGCGGACCGCTATAGAAAAATCGTTCAAAATGGAATCTTCAGCTTACAGTTTCGCACCAAGAATTTGCCTTATAAGCAGGGAGACAGAACCGATGGATTCCCGGTCCACAAATTGGGAACTTGCGTCAGCAAAATCTAAATGTGAACAAATCCCTATCAGAGTTGTAACCGGTAATAATAATAGCACATGTATTTACTCCACAAGTGGTTGATTAGCCCTACAATCCGTCAGTTTTGCGACTAATCTTTGGACCCATCAAAGAAGCAGACAGCAGGGAACAGAAAGTGAGAAGCAATACAGAAATATATAAAAGTCACTACTGTTTGCTTTAAAACTTTTTAGGGTCGTGTAGACATACATAATCTGTTTTGATACCAGTTAACCAATGGTTTGATGAAAGCTAATAGATTGAAATGACTGGGGCATATTGAGAGAATGTCTGATGACCAAGAGGTAAAATATATACATACAAACGATCTGAATGGTCGTAGACCACCTGTTAAAGCAAGAAGACGATAAAGAGATAATATCCAGACAGACAGAAATACAAACACTTGGTGTCACCAACTGGAAAGAGAAAGCCAACTAAGGAGCTGTATACAGGCGGGTGGCATCTGCAGCAATTAACCTCAAGTGCTCGGAATGCCGTAGAAGAAGCAGCTGATGATGTCATTTAATATGAAAAAAGTACTTCAATAGTTTCTTTTTGATTTCAGTCAGTAATTCTCGTTTCATTCGTAGTCTTTCCAGGTCGTATGTATTGAAATTTCTCCTGCCCCCCCCCCTCCCCCTCCCCCGCCTTCTTAAATTAAAAACGACCTTTTCTTCTGTATACCCACATTTCCGGGTAGACAATTCGATTTTCTAGTTGCTTGGTTATTGTCCAGGTTTCTT